GTTATTTTAATACCAGAAATCCTCTAATCCCGGTCTGCATCATCCTACATATCTGTCTACTGTAATAGATATACAATAAATAGGTTCATAAAAGTGCCATAACTTGACATTTAAGTCTGTGAAAAACATAACTGTAGTGGATATAATGCTATAAGGTTTCATAATAAGTGGGCCTTGATATGTTCCACTTGGTGTGAAAGAATGGGCCACTGTCAAACACCAAACCACTACTTCGTTTTCAACTGTGTTTTGACACAATGGATCCCATGTTGAACAGTGTTTGTGTAACTAAGTGTAAGAAGCTGTGAAGACGATATTGTGACAGTGTGTCCCTTCTTCTCTGCTCCCCCCGGCAGCCTGCGGATCACAGTGTGTTACAGTGAGGTCTGCAGGCAGCATCAGCACCGTCTGACTCCATCAGCAACGGCTCCAAGGATTCAAGAGTCCCTTTTTGTTGACACAGACATTAAAGCACAAAACACTGGCATGACAAGTCTTACATTTTGCAGGACAATTGATTTGTTTGTGGGCTGTAAACAGTGTTCTGTTCAAATGTATATTATACTGCCATGACTTGAAGGGCTGATGCCATCAGGGGTGGAGAAGATATCCTAGAAAAGAACAACACTGTAAAAATACATGAGAAACAAAACTCCTGTTTTAAAGACTTGAATTGCGGTAATAGTACTTCTAAAAGTTAATATTTGATTAAATAGTATTACTCGTTAAAGCAATAGTAGGAGCTTAAATTTGAGTATTTGACCCAAAACTAATGATTATTTTCCAATTAAAATAGTGAGAAATATAATCAAAGTTGCCCAGAGCCCAAAGTGACACCTTTGGTCTTCTGCACCTCAGGTTATTAAAAATAATTCAAAAAAAGAATGCTAAATGATAACATTTCTGTCAACCAATTACTCTTTTCAGCTCTTATTGTATAATACATGTTTTGTGTTCAACAATCTACTTTTGTAAAGAAACTAAATCTGTGTAAAGACTATTCCTTTGAATTGTAAAGTGACATGAGAATAAATTACTCAAGTAAATGCACCTCCAATTTGTAAATAAAGTAAATGTACTTTCCACCACTGTCAGGTAAGATACCCCACAGTAAGGCAAAGGACATCTACGATCCTCTGTTGGAAAAGTTGCTTTGATGACTTGTCTCTTCACCATAGCAGTGGCTCTGGTCACAGTAATAATGCAGGCTTCCCAGAGTTAATGTGGTAATGATTTATTGATGTTAAATGCTACACATAGCACCGTTACATCCACCGTAAGGAGTCACCGACAGGTTGGAAACGCCTGCTGTTTGAGTGAATATAAAACCAGAGGACTCGGAGAGGGCCACGCATGAGTGTTCAGTCATTTGCTTGCAAGATGTGTTTTTCACTTTTGTGATTGAAGAAATCCTTTATTTCAAAGGAAGAAAATAATACATTTGAAACAAGCAGACAAAGGACACGGGTCAAATCTGCAACACATATACACCTTGTCCTGTTAGCTTTTTAAAGTTACTGTGGTGGCTAAACAAGACACAATTAAACTCTCCAACATTATATCCTATTCAACAAGTCTCAGTAGTATGGCACCATTTTCCGGCTGTCAGAGTCCAGTGTTTCGTGATGAGACTATTTACAATAAAAAAGAAATCAACAACGAAACGTGTTTTAAAAATAGTGCTTGAAACAAGTGACTTGACGTAAAACTATGTACATACCTGTATTTGTCAAAGTTTGTTCGCCTTTATATACACATCTTTTTTTTCACATTTGTTAATAAGTCACATCAATCATATTAAATATAGCAAACATTTCCGCGGTAGTAAAAAGAAAGGGAAAGAAACGAGTCAATTGGAATGACATGGAACCACATGTGTATCACATTTCAACTTAAAACAATAATATTAATACCAATAGTAATGACATTATCTGAACAATTAAATGAAAATCTCTTTTCAGCATCTCAAAATATTTCTACTCTGCATCATTTTCCAGTCATTTGCTATGTACAAGAACACATTCAGACTTGTATCTTGCCAGTAGAGATCTCTTTTAATTCTCACATTTGGTTTTTCAGTGTTTGTCATTCTGTAACTGCTAGGAGACGCTGTGTAGACCTGGAAATACTGACCTGACATATCGCCAAGCTTTCTAACATTTAAAGGAAAAGTCTCACATTTTGTCAGGTGATTCAAATTAAGGGTTTCTTTATTTAAAAGAGTTCGTATTGGGTATTTTATTCAGCAAAAAAAGAAGTATAAGCTAATTTACTGACGTCTCTTTCCCAATGTAAGTCAATGGGAATACATCTGGGTGAGACTTATATTATTGGTTTATATATCAGCTCACAAGAATATTTCCCGAAGATGAAACAAGCAACCATTTGGTATTTCTGCTTGAAAAAAAAAAAAAAAAAAAAAAAATTCATCCATTTTCTTTTCATGATTTATCACGTGATCTACAGATAAAGTCATATTTAATTACTTAAATTGTGCTTCCACTGGTAGTAGTATGGTATTAGGGAGTATGTTATTTGCCCAGTAACACTCAATATTAACATAGTATATCTATTCTGTTTGTTTTTTGACTTTGACTGCAATATGCAATACAAAATGACTGGATTTGGCTTTTATTGCTTGTTACCCTAATGATTAGAATAGTGGCTATAAAGTGTTTGTACTGGGTGGATAATTTAGCGGGGAAAGAATAAGCTGATTAACAGACATCTCTTTCCCAGTGTAAGTCAAAGGGAAAAAGACTATTTGGGCCCAATGACGATGAAGTGTAGGACCACTGTTTGGCCACACATTTGCTTCAATGGCCGGCGCTCTGGGGCTTGGGGCAGACACATATAAATAACTGTTTCCATATCAGCTCACAAGAATCTCTCCCAAAGATGTCAGACTTTTCCTTAAAACTGTCTGGTTGCAATCCCTCAAAAGAGAAAGCGCAACCACTGCTTAGCTAAGAGGACGACGAAGCATCACATCTTCTTTTTTGTACAAGAGAACGTCTTACACATCAACTTCAAAACAATCAAGAATGCTTACTTGCTGCAGGACATTATTAATAAATACAGAAAACAGACTAAGGAAGTCAGTCGAGCAAAAATAAAATAAAGAAAAACTCCAGACGACCAAAAAGAATTCAAGTGGAGAGAGATGGAAATGATGCTGCTAACAATTATAGAGTGTTTGTGCTTGTGAGGACATTAACCCATCACCTGAAATGTGCCTCGAAATAATACAAGTAAACGCAGACAGGTCCATGGAGCATCAGGAGCTTCAGAGATAAACACGTTGTTATCCCCCACTAAACATCTGCATTATAAGGTGGGTGCTTGAAATAAAGTGCAGGATATTTCGAGCCATAATGTCCATATTCTAGACTTATTTTTCAAACAAATATGGATTAATCTTCTTCTTGACGAGTTCAACAAATAAATCACTGAGAGATTACATTCTTGTAGCACGGAGGAAAAGTATGAGCGATGCCATGGATTTGCTCGGACAGGGATAAAGGGGGGTTTATAATGCGTTCAGATACAAAGCAAACCAATTGACTGTAAAACTATATTTGAATAAAGGAAATCTGAAAAGCCACAATAATCACTGCATTTGATGTTTTTCAGATATTAATAATACTCTGTACATTCATGAATTGGAGATGGACCACCACCTGTCTGCACTGTGGTTTCTCTGCACTGTGGTTTCTATGCGCCAATTGATTAATTGGCCTTTAAGATTTCAGAAAATTAACTAAATCAGATTTGTACATGACTTCTCCAAATGTAAATTCAATTTAGTTCCATAAAGGTCAAAGAAAACCAGCAAATGCTTATATTTGAGGGGCTGGAACGAGCATGTGTTTTTGCTGGTTTTGGTATTTTTGCTTGAAAAATGACTTTAAATTATTAATAAATGTTCTGTTAATTGATGTATCCCTTTATCTACAGAAAAGTGATATTTATTTACTTAAAGGGGACCTATCATGCAAAATGCACTTTTGTACGTCTTTCATACATGAATATGTGTCCCTGGTGTGTCAGGGATCTCACTAAGTGTCAGGAAACACAACCCTCTCTCTTTTCCTCCATACCCAAATCTCTAAAAACGGGGCTGCAACGGATCTGATACAGACTTTGAAATTGTTCTGACGTCAGAAACAAGGAGCTCCACCTATATGGGCAACTCTCCACCAATCAGGGGAATGAGAGGTTGCTGTGGCATGGTAACAGCATGGTAACATGACGCTCGTGCCTCGCCCCCCTCCTTTGCAGGGGGGCGTGGTCAGCTGCAGTTCATTTGCCACAGAATCAGCCCTTGTGAAAACAGGGCTGGAAAAGAGCAAATAGATCGAAATGAGGCATGGCTAAAATGCATGATCTGTTTGGTATTTTGAAAAAAAAAACTTCGCAGACATGTTTTATATAGGTATGGCCCTACAATATATTATTCAAATATAGCATGATAGGTCCACTTTAAAAACTTGGCTTCCACTGGTAAACTGGAATATGCCCTTTGTACAGTAACACTCAATATTGATCCAGTATATCTGTTATTTGTGATTTACACATACAATTTCAAACAAAAACCTACATGAAATGACGAATGTGCCTTCAGATTGAAATATAGAATAATGCACATGTTTGCCTCCAACTCTAAATTCCTGTTGCATCCAAGCGCAGATTTGTGAAACTCATCTTTAAAAACGCTCTCTGTTTTACTTCACATAAACTCAACTGAGCACTCTTGACTGCATTATTGTAAACAAAGGACTCGTATGATAATATGACTTGAAATACAACACAATGATCCCCCCCCGCACCCCCCCTCCCTCACACAGACACATGAAATATTACAAATTAGAAACGAGAGAAAGAAAACAGAAACAAACAGGCCTACGTTTGTTCAGCTCTGTTGGTGGTGTACTCTAGGTGTGTATAAGGCTGGTCCAGTCTGTGTGTTTCTGGCCGTTCACAGAGTGCTGCTCAGCGGGTCAGAGGTAGAAGCCGGTGGCGGGGGGGTCGGGGAGGCCGGACAGAGTGTCAGGGGGCATCTGGACAGCAGGGGGCGCCACTCCGTTTCTATTGGGCAGAGCAATGCCTGCTGGGTAAGTGTTGTTCAGGATGCAGCCGTTCTCCATCTGCAGGGAGAGAGAGGAGACATCGTGAAACACTCAGCTGGAGGAAAGCTCAGATCCTACACTTAATAATAATAAAAAAATAAAAATAATAATAATACGTTTATTTAGTATAGCACCTTTCACATAAATAGAATTCACAAAGTGCTTCACAAGAAAGAACAACAGTTCAAATGAAGACCACAGAAACATGAATACAATAACAACATGAGGCAGAAGTAGAATAAGTAGAAGTAGCAAGGCTAAATTGTTCAAATAAAGTATTGGGATTAAAAAAATACTTAAGTATCAGAATCAAAAGTACTTGTTTCGTATATTCGTCCAATTCAAAATCAATTGTATGACACACTGGATTGTAATTATTGATGCATTCATGTCCATCATAACGGTGGGGCTAATTTGTGCTACTTTGTTTGAACCTATAATTTTATGTCAATGATGTCATTGATTTAGATTTCATATTAGTTAATATTTTGAGTATGTCAAGTAAGGGGTGAGTAAGAGTAGAGGTATACATTTGCAAAATACTTAAAGTAGAATTTTTAGTACGTCATTACGTCGCACTAATGGAATGACAACATACAGTTATATGTGGAATAAGTGAAAGCAATGTCAAAACAAAACGTCTAAATTGAGCCTGCATTATGTAGGTTTTACATTAAAATATGTATATTTGTATTGGAAGAATGACAGAAATCAAACGTATTATCAGAAATTGTAAGTGTAGGACTCATGAGATGTCTCGTGAGATGTTAAATCTGAAGGGTCTGTCAGTGAGAGAAATGTCACGGCTGTCTGCCCGTTGCATTTGGAAGATATCATGTTTGAAATGATGACAGGTCTCCCTGCAGGTAGCACAGCTGGTGATACGAGGCCAACCGTTGGAATACAAAGGTCAGAGAGAGACCAAAACCATTATGACTCATCCTCTGCGTGTCATGAATATTCACAGCACATTTGACAAGAAGATGTCATTATCTGTCACTTCCTCAGAAACCAGTGCAGTTAAATAAAAAGTATGCATATTGTCAAAAAAACGGATTCAACTCTGCAATCATGAAGCTTTTACCAAATTCCACTACTGTATGTCTTACTCAAAAGTCCAAATACTTTTATAATAATCAAAGTAAAGTTGCAATAAAGATTAAATGTATTCATGATTCCTTAAATTTGCCATTTTTCTCTTTATTGTTTGGTCTTTAAAACATCAGAAAAGTTGACAATTTAATTTCTTGTTTGGTTCGACCAACAGTTCAAAACTCAAACAGATTCCATTTGTTTTATTTTTAAACCCGAGAAAACCAACAAAAATATTATATTTAAAAGGTGGGGTAGGTCATTTTGGAGAAACCAGCTCGAGTGCGCTAGAATTTGAAAATACACAACCGGAAAAAAATCTGCCACTTCCTTACAGAGCCCCTCCTCCAACGCCCCTCCTCCAACACCTCGCACATGACCAATGAGGGCACGAGATAAGTTTGTGCATAGATTGAAGGCTGACAGGCAGGTAGGCCATCCAGTTACTTTAGCCGGGCCGGCTCAGATGATTGGTCGTGCTTTTTACAGCGCCACGGCTTCCACAGATGAACTTTTTTATGTATTTATTGTCAAAGCATTTTATTTATTTATTGCTATCGGGATGTTAAGAGCATTCCATGGAATATAACAAAAAGTGTTTCTGAAGTGAATTACCTACCCCACCTTTAAGAACATGGAAACATTATATGCCTGGTCTTTTTACTTGGGATATTACTAAAACGATACCCATTAATTTAGTTTGTTCAGCTTTCGATTAATAGTTAAAGCTCTAGACAAAACTACTGAACTGAGCCCCAGAGTTAGAGTAGGAAGCATGTAACTAAAAGCATAATCATAACAATGATAATTTAAAAAAGTTTTGAAAAGCATCTCCCGAACAATAGGGGTGATTTTACGGCTAGATTCTATTATAATCAATTTTTGGCTAAGAGCATGGGTTTCAGCTCAAAAGGCAACATTTGCCCCCTTCCCTCTGACCCAAAGCCTAGAAAACAAACATCCATGCTCAAACCCAATCGCCATGTCAGTGTTTCAGCGTCCTCACCTTGTTGGGGCTGGGGTCATGAGGGATCTCGGGGGTCACCATGCCGTAGGGGTCCAGTTGCCGGCAGGGCTTGCCCACCCCGAGGATCTGCTCCAGGGAGGCGTTGGGGGGCGGGCACTGCGACAGGCTGGAGATGACCTGCGCCAGAGGAACTGGGATCTGCTCTTGCTGCCGCTTGTGGTTCATCCCCTGGAAGGATGGCACCGTGGACTCGGCCCCGTGCTGATGTCCGCTCCTCCCAAACAAACTGCTTCCACTGATAGCGTAATCCACATTGTCCATATCAGGCAAACTATAATCCATGCAGGCGTCCAGCGAGGTGTTAGTCGGAGGTTTTTGTCCGTTATCGAGGCAGGAGGTGCTGCCCAGACCCTCGCTGAACCTGTAGTCCTGCCACTGGGATTTTCCAGCCGAGTGGGCCTTGCTGGAGTGGCCACACATGCCGTTAAGATTGGCGGGCTTGGGTTGCACGTGGCACTGCTGATGGTTCTGCACCCTGGGCTGCTGGAGCTGCTGCTGCTGCTGGAGGAAGAGCGGATGCTGATGCAGCTCTCCCTGCAGCTCTGTGGCCTTTCCATTGAAAATAGTCTGTTGGGTTTTATAGTGTTGTATCCCTGCATTGACTAGAATGTCTGTGGCTGTCCATTGTCCATTTCTGATTGGTGGATTTTGCCCCATCATGTCTCCGTTTACTACCGTGTTGTTAGCCATGTGGTTGCTCTGCTGCACCCAGTTGTGCGTTACTTTACCTGGACGCATGTTGAGGTGCTGCTGCATCTGTTGGGACAGCTGCAGGATGGGGGCCTGCCCCACCACAGGGGGCTTGTGGGGAGAATACTGCATTTGACCGTTAGCGTGAGGAGCGGGATTACCTTCAGGTAGCGACACGGTTGTGACTGTCGCCGAGGCAGTACTGGGAGGCGCCTGTCCTCCGAGCTCAGTGGACTCGGTCTTCCCCTCTAAGGAGTCGTAGATATACGAGAGGATCTCATCGTTCGTCAGCAGGTCGTCCAAGGTGGGCACGCGTTCGGGGTCCATCTCCACTCGGATCATCCGCTCGTCCAGCAGCAGCAGCTCCAGGTCTTCAGCGCTCAGACCGAGGCCTTCCAGAGCTCCAAACAGATCTCCGTTCGAACAGCCCGCCTCTTCTGAATCCACGACCCCATGGCCCTCCAGAGAGAGCGAGTCCAGAGTGGCCAGCAGGGGGTCAAAGCTGGTTCCTGGCTCTGTGTTGCCTGGACCCAGATCCCCGTTGCTCGGCTCGTCCCATCTGCTTTGCAAACTGGAGGGTTCCGAGTCGGAGAAGCCCATTTGGTCCCCAAAGAAGCTGTGGAAAGACATTTTGGGCTCCAGGGCCGGCTGGCAAACGTACACAGACTCATCCTGACTCATGAGCGCCCCCAAAAGAGAGCCAGGGTCCAGCCCGTCTCTCAACAGCCTTTCTGTCCGGCTCTTCTTCGACTTACTACAGTTTTTCTCCTGGCTCCCGTCTCTGAAGGCTGCGATGGGATGGTTGGACTGGTAGAGCAGGGCCTCTCCTGTAGCGTAGGTGAAGGGCAGATGCATGGAGCGCTTACGCAGGTGTTCTCCACCCTCTTCATCCCTATGACGACACAGAAATAACCATTTAATTAACAGCTTTTGTTTCTGGCATAGTTGGTATGGTGCTTACCCACTTTTCTACGATTGAAGTTGTCATATAAGTGTCATTCGAGTTGCATGTTTTTAATGATTTAACCATCTTATTTTTGTAGTGACTTTATATCTGTCCAGACACTACAGATAAAAAAATCACCTCTTGGCTAACTCTGGCACATTAACAGAAATGTCTATCAATGTACACTGTCCTGTGAAATGAACAAATAACATCAATTCTGATGTCTAACTTTGCTATTTGGAAAACAAACAGTGCAAAGGTAATTGCTGGTCAAACACGAAATATTGCTTCTTGCTCGGAGAAGATTATCGTCATCAGATAGAAAGTCGATGGGGTCTTTTCTTATATAAAAAAATGGACGTATGTGTCACATCGTAACTGAAACTATATATGCTTATATACATGAAATAAATTCCTTGCATACATCAAAACACATGTCTCCCTATCGAAACATTGTTATTGTATTAAGATTTAGTTCCTGCCAATTTGTTTTTGATGGTAAATTGTATTGAATTACAAACCAACATAAATAGATATTAAACATACAGAAGAGGCCTCTGGGTGGCGATGATGTAGTCCGGCTTGCCGTTCTTGTACACCAGTCTGGCGTTGGCCTGGACCCACTTCCAGAGATTCTCCTTCGTGAGGAGCCTGAACACTGTCAGACCACTCTCTCCCGTCTTCATCACTAAACATATTCAACACAAACAGTTCAAATGAGTGAACTTTACCACAACAATAACATTCACCTGCTGAAAGTACTTGATTTCAGTAATGACTGAGTCCAAATATGAAGTTTTGCATATTGGTGGCTCTAAAAGACATTGATAGGTTCTGAATGAGTTGATGCTACAGCCGAGTTCATGCACAAACATGATTGTAAGCATATGTTATTGCATTTAGGCATTAGATTTACCAGCAGCAAGTGAAAGTTGGCTGGCAGATGGCAAAGTAAGGTGGATTGAATCACACAAAAATTAGCGATCAGTGCTAGCCACAAGAAAAATCGAATGAAATGTTCTTTTAAATCTAGCGAATAGAAATATATGCGTGACAGCAGACCACAGTGTTGGATAGATGACCCAACTATCTAACTAATTAACTCACTGACTGACTAACTAACTAACTAACTAGCTCACTGACATTCTTGGAAGCTATTAGGAAGTAGTAATGTGCATTCACTGCATTATGTGTTAAATTACTGAGGGTAAAGAAGTTCTAAATTGGATTGAAGAGCAGCACTTAGACAAGTTATCAATCAGTATGGCAGTGGGGTGTTTTCTTTATTCCTTTTGTATACAAATAGTAATATAACATAATATTAGTATTTTTTATTATGCTACGCAGAAAGGAGGAGATCAATGGGCCCCTCATTTTGAAGTTGTATCTGTTTCCACCTCCTGATTAACCCACACTGCTGCAGTGAGGGAGAGTGGTCTGCTCCATGTCTGACCTCTGAGTGTTTGTGTGTTGCTGCTGCTGCTGCATGGATCATGGCTGATGCTTTGCTTATGCAGTGGATTTGTGGGCCCTATCCTCTGCGCTGGCAGCCGTACAGCTTTGCTCAATCTGCTCCGTAATCCAGCGGGATTACTTGCGAAAGCGGTTTGAACTCTCTGACCAGGTTTGGCCAGACCGCCTCAACTTTATTGAGGGGACTAAATCTAAAATAGCAGCAGGATTCTGTCAGATAAACATCCAAGATGAAGGGACTCTTACTACCAATACTCGCTTCGTTATTGAACAGCTTCAGACGACCCAAAACACATCTCTTTAGGGCCACCTTAAAACTGTGTTCACATGCAGCCAATGGCATTGGGAGGCTCTAGTACTGTAACAAAGTAATTGAAGAATTCTGTTTTTGGCAGCTTATTTAAAATAATGTAGACGAGCACCATCAAAAAGACTAAGTGGAGAGGATGCAGAGGCCCTTTCTCCACTTTCAAATGTAGGTTGGTAAAAACTTGAATTGCTAAACTACCTTTAATAATGTGATTGGAGACTTCCCAATTATCACAGAAAAACTCTTTCCTAACTAATACATGGCAAACACTTCCAGTTAAATATTTAGGTTGGCTTTTATAAAAAAACACGCTATTAGACCTTTTTTTAACATGTTATCGTATTGCCCCAGGAGAGAGAGTTGAAAGGAAATGAGAGAGAAAGAGATGCAACAACCCCCCCCCCCCCCACCTCAGACTGGAAGGTTGGTGGTGGCGTTCAAATGGTCGTGCTCCATCGACACTCAGACTGGGAAGGTTGTGGGTTCATGGTCAGTGTCATCGCCCCCTGAACCACAGCAGCCCACTCACAGCACTTACTTCTGACATGGTTTTCTGCGCAGTGCAACATATCAGCTGCATGGATGAACTGATAGCCGGATCCTCGTACCCGCAGCTCGGCCTCTGTGTAGCCCAGCACTATCTTCCCCCTGTGCAAAAAAACACCATCATTCATATTCAAAACCTTATCCATGGTACACACCACATCTAACATCAACATCTAATGAATGATCTCATAGGTAGTGCAGACAAATACACAGCAGGAAAAGAAAACTACACCTGCTCTTGTCATCATCTCACGCGTTGGCTTACTAAATGTAACATTGATTTCAGGCATAGTTGTTTAATTCTAAAAAAGATAATCAAGTGACAAAGCTAGAAGATGTCCCCCATTATGTTCCTGTTGCATGCCAGCGTCTTACTTAGCATCACAGGCCATGGGAGTGAAGTCCAGCTTGTGTTTGGTTCTGAAGATCATGTTCTTGGTCCTGATCTCCAGGATGGATGGAGGCTGCAGAGGAGTCGCAATGGTGAAGAGGGCGAGCTGAGGGGGGGCCTTTCCTCCGTTTTCCTGCCGCTGGTTCTGTCCCTGCAGAAACTTCAGTCTGCCCTGGATGTTCAAAGCCTGCAGACAAAGAAAAACAAATCAAGTCCTTGAATTTTGTTTACATGTGAGGGACTGCAGAGCCTCTGACATGATTCCAACGGTTGTCAACTCTTTTAAAAACATTGTAGTGATGCTAGTCAAGTTTATATAATCTGTAAGAGCCACGTGTCTTATTTATTGTGTTTTTTAAGAGCCTTGGGAGGGCATGACTGGGATGGTGCATGTGTCATTGTTATAATTGCGAGAGTGGAGTTAAGAGTCCTTGCAGCCAACAGGTCAAAGTCATTTTAAAAGTTTCAAGTATCAAGCTCTGGTAAAGAAATAAGGCTTTGGTCTGCATGTTTTTATTTAACTCACCAGAAAGCCGGAGGAGTTGTCCAGCAGGCAGCGAAAGCGACACACAAAGGTCCTCTCCAGGAAGGACGAGTTCTCTGGAGGAAGCTGCTCAGGGTTGTAGGTGACCACGGCTGAGCTGCTGTCTGGTTCAATCTCTGGAGTTACAAACAATATGATCTTCTGTTAGTGGCCATTTCTATATAGTAAACAATTCAACTTGAAAATTTGGCTTTAAAACCCACAATCTAACAATCCCAGCTTTGAATCGCTCTGTATTTGCAACATAATGCACTTTTATAAACTAGGCAATCAAAAGGACACCTAGCTCACACATTGAGTTTGACAATATGTCACATTATATAAGCTTAAGGTGGTCTAAATATTAGTTTATACACCTCTATAGCAAAGACCTTTCATCTATACATAGCACAGTGAAGCAGTGTTTTTCTGATGTGTTCAAAGGCCTTAATAATGTCTCAAATGTAAACATGTAGAGATGTTGTAGTATTAAACCACACCATGCTGCCCTCTGTATCAACTCTTCAGCTGGACTATAATCTTGTCTCGTCAGCAGCCCTCCATTGTATGAAATGCAGTTATGTAACGAGGCCTGGAGCAGCCTCGGCCTTCACTCTGACTGACAGCCTTGGTTCAGTCAGAGGGGGGACGGGGGACAGCTTCTGGGTGCAGGACCAGGTGAGCTGTCTCAGAGCTTTGGCTCTAAACACATTGCTCTGAACCAAAGCACATAGACGTAAGCATCTTAAAACCCAAATACAGATCTTGCACTACTCCTACCTCCTAAGCCAGAGTGAAGATTACTGGGTCACATGACTTGTCCTGAGGATGGTCTTCTAGCTTAGCGCCTAAAACTGTGTGTACTTAACCGCTTCGTATTGATGTCCAAATGGGTTTGCAGAGTGCCGTGTGTTAAACATTGGTGCAGTTTTACTGAAACATACAGAAACCTTTAAACTCAATGTGTAACTTTAGCAGGCTAATTGAATGTATTAGCAAATATTTCAAAAAGAACAATAATGAAGTTGTTATTAAAATCAGATTTATAGTATGAGTAAGTTGTAGAAGTTTGTGATTATGCAAAAATAGTTAATGTATATTCAAACAATTGTTGTAATACATTAAAAAATGCCCAAAAATATCTACAATCATTACATATTTAAGAGTCTTTTCTACATGAAATAAATCATTTTAGGAACCCTTTTCAGAAATCTAATTCATCCCAACAAACCAACTTCCTCACACATCTGTTAAAGCTTCAGTCTAGTGTGCGTGAGTTATCCTGCAGTGGGAGAGAGGGATCACCTTGGGGGGAGTCCTTGGTGATGGCAGGAGGGTTTAAAGCCCAGTGGAGGTTTCTCCTGAGCTCCTGCTGGTCCTCCGTATGGACCAGCTCGTACACACTCTGGTGCATCACATCCGTCTGAGGAACAACGAGGAGAAGAAGAGTTATCTTTTACCAAAAATAAACATGCTTTTTCCACACAGGATGTGGAAAAAGTATACACATTTTAAAGTTATAGTGTGGCTCATCATTTTATACAATAGTCTAAGTGGCCAAACTGAAGCATACACAACTTTCAGGGCAGTCATGTGATGCTTTGGAACATTATTTTTCCTTCTATGTTCATTTTTTTTGCCGCTGCTTTTAATTGAACTATTCACATCTTAAACTGCATAACTTTTATCCATGTATTTTTTATTTTAATGTTTATTTTATTTTATTTTTAATGACTGATTTTAAATGCCATTTTCTTAATGTCTTTCATTTTTTGTAAATCACTTTGAATTGCCTTGTGTTGAAAGGTGTTATATAAATAAACTTGCCTTGCCTTGATCATGGTGTACTTTTAATTTCGAAAAGGTGAATCAACCTTCAACCACTTAAAAATGTGCTAAAAGTTGTACATTTCAACAAAAGCAAAAAGGGTATTTCTTTTGAGCCGGGAACCGAGCAGCTAGGAGGACAGTTTAATGGAAACGCTAGCTATTTTTTCTTCAACACTGCAGTTTAACTTTTTTGGTTTCATGTCCGATTTTTGGTTTCATGTCCGATTTTTGGTTTCATGCCCGATACAACCCTGTTTGCAGTGCTCTTCATAAATCTATGTGTTGCATGTTACGGATAATCTTGGAAATAGTTGCTAGTTAGTTATCAGAGTATGCTACTCAACACTTCTCCCATAAGCCCTTTGGTGTGTGTGTCTGCAGCTGGAGGAAACTCTCCCTGTAGTGTGTACTTCTTTCCAACTTGAGTGCACAGGTACTCTCCTGAGCGGGGGTGCAGAGATGTGTTATTCACTGCAGCCCTCTGCTGTGCCTGGTGTGTGTTTTTTTTACCAAAGGCCGAGTTATAAATAGGTTGGGTCTTTTTGCTGCTGTTTGAGCCTCCGCACCATGCAGGGAGCGGACCGATGGATCAAACCGACCCCCGAGCCGCTCCCAGCAGACGCTGCACGCAACCCATCCATCAAACCATCCAAGCTGTCAATCAGTTTGGTAAAAAAGCGTCTGGGTGCTCTTGTTTTTTTGCCTCTAAGGATCCCTATTCTCCTAAAAATGTAAGCTGTAATGCATTGATGAAGTTAAATGATGGCTAAGTTAGATGTTATCATTTCTAATTTCTTCAAAACATTAAGAATGGGGCTGTATTTCTTTATTTTTTCACTTCTTTATTTAGAAGACAGTTAAGGACATTTCACCAGTTCCAATGAAATATACTTGCAGTTACAGGGAGTAGTAGACATGTGCAATAAGGGAACAGTGTACATTGAAACCTTCTCATTGTCCTCTTTCTTTTCTGATGTGCATCTCATACAAGGTTGGGGCTGTATTTCTATGTCTGATTTTATTTTCTTGTTGGTTTTGAGACAATTATTGGAGATGATAGAAGTCAGAGGCATAGAAAAAGACTTTACCTGGTGGAAGCCCAAGTAATCGGCGATGGTGTGAGAGCAGTAGAAGATGGTCCCACCGGCAGTGAGAACCATCACGAAACCATTCAGAGCCTGTGGGTCAAACAAAGGATGCACACACAGTTAGCAGAGACACTTACTTCTCATTGTGTGGGAGCTTTCAGTTCAGGAAATGGCAAAACCAAAATATTGTATTTGAAAGGTTGGTTACAGTGATCTTTATAATTCTTGATCATTTCAGGTTTTCAGAACAGGAAGAGAAAGCCAACTCGTTTCTTTCCCTTCATATTCTCTTAATGCTTTGATACTGACGAAGCAAAAACAAGAAGGAGGTATAGGAGACACAAGTGAACAGATATGGGGCAACTTATTTAGTGTCAAAGCCAGCATCCATTACAGATGAGGTGTCGCGATGACAATCTTCAGTCCAACAATAAAACCCACACTTTTATAATGCAGTGTTCCAGATGTGGAATAGAATTGACTGGAGGCACAATACAAGAGGATGTTAGTCATAAAGATATATGAAGCGCATGGGCATACATATATAATGTACAACCCGTCAGCCCTTTGCATTTATAACCTTTTTATTGATATGAATTATTAACATTTCTTCTATTTCTGTAAAGAAATGTAGTCTCTTCCATTTTCTTTGGTACAGCTGCAGCGTTGATATTCAGGTCTGTGATGTTTGAGGAGATAGGAGCACTACAATAAAATAACCTATTGAATCAGAAATGGAAGGAAGTAAGGAAGTAAGGAAGGAAGGAAGGAAGGAAGGAAGGAGGAAAGGGAAGCATGTGAGGTGAAATGGAGCACGTTCATTGTTTCTCTTCAAAGGGGAACAGCTGGTCAAATATTTCCACTTCACTAGACACACACGTGCCCTCCCCCTGTATGCTTACACAACATAGCATAAACAAACACACAAACAGACGTGTACACAAACAACAACAGCCTAACGCACAAGCACCTCTTTGCTAAATCGTCCTACAGGATGCAGGGATGACTAATGCTGTTCTCATTATACACCAGTGATTCACCGCAATGATCTGCCACACTAAACACAAAAGGTCAACGTTGAATATACATTGTGTTTAATGACATCAGAAATAACCTTCATTTGTTTTAAGCTCTTATGTCATTTCTTGTGAACGTTTGTTCAAATTCTGCAAAACGCTCTGCCGCTGCTGGAACCCGATGAGATGTGAAAAGCCGTCAGAAACGAAGCCAAATTAGACAGTACTCATGTGCACCCGTTAACCTCCCAGCTGCAAATGATTTGATGCAGTCATGAGTATGAGCATAACTGATGGCTAGAAGAGGGAAAACAAGTGTACAGTTTTCTTTTTGAAGCAGGTTATTGTCAATTTGCAATGACTATATCAGAGGAGAAGCACAATTAGGATTCAAGGCTTTTATTATGTACACAGCTACAGTGCAGTTATGACAATGAGATTCTTAGGTCACATGCTCCTCCAACAGTATAAAACATGTACTTTCTTCTGAGTGTGAATAATTGACATGCTCACAGCTCCTCCATAATTCACCAGCGTCTGATGCTGAAGAACAGCAAAGAAGCTCAGACTCGGCTTCAGAAATAACCCTTACATTCCTCAGCCTTTGAACTGCTCTCTGTCCATCTCCCCTCTCCTCCCGACGTTTAAGGGGAGGAGGAGGAGGAGGAGGAGGAAGAGGCCCCCCTGTGGAGCCCTTCCTCGCCTTTTCTCCAAAGAGCTTTCGTTTCTCGTTACTAACAGGCCGGGGAAATGCAGGCGGATCGTAATAGTGAAACCTCCCTGCTCTGTCGGGCATGGCAGGCTGTTTCCTCTCTTGTCCTGGAATGCCAGTGTGATGCACATTGGGGGGAACTGGACTGGAAAATCAATGACTCCGGCAGATCCCAAAAAGATCTGGCAGGCAAGTGAGCGAGCGCTCCGATCCGTCACACATGCAGAGCAAAGGGCCAACAACCGCCGCCAGGAGAGGCTGTTTGTTCTCTCCGGTTTAAATAGAGTAGTAAACAGGACGCCAGATGGCCCTTTTCTTAAAAAGCTGAACTGTGACCTGAAAGTCCAGCGAAACACACTGTATTCATCTTGAACCAGACGTTCCCAGAGATAATTCACCAACAAAGAGTATGTGGATTGAAGTCATTGTCTACTCAACATTCATTATTCATTCATTAATCATAACAGCCTCCAGGAGGATTTTTACTGGAATGCATTTACAAAAATATTAGCATGTCAAAATTGTACGTCTTACCATTCTTTGCTACTTTCTCCTACTACTATACTTCTTGTACTCCACTGCCATTTAGAGGTTGATATTGACCTTTTTACCTCACTAGAACAAAATATAATCAATCACTAATCCTGATTATAATCACTCTGATCTAAAAACCAGACCAACTAAGAAAGATAGCCCGTCTCCATTGTCTAAATTAAGCTAAGCTAACCAACTGCTGACTATCCTCTTACAGCTTATCACACACACACACACACACACACACACACACACACACACACACACACACACACACACACACACACACACACACACACACACACAGGGCTGTATTGATCTTTTCAAATATTTCACAAATGTCAAACTATTCCTCCTGAGCATAACTGACAGGAATGATGGCTGACATTACAGAAATATGACCCGAGATGTTAAAATAAACCCATAGGTATTTCCTTGGAGGATAACACTGATAATACAAAATAATACAAAATCCAATTCACATGTGATTTCACGACTAAAGGGCTGAAATATGGTCTTTGAATCATATCATGCTTTAAATATCACATTTCTAGTCAAACGGAATCCACATTTGGTCTGAAATGATTTTGTGGTGTGGTTATAACAAGCGTAGAGCTCTTGATGTCACAACGGAGTAGGACTGGGCTTCTCTTGTAGCTATCAGTCGAGCAGCAGACCGGCCTGTCTAACAGACTCCTGTTTGACGAGGACAGATCGACTCTCAGCCCTGAGCCTCTGTCATTGGCCTAAATACATTTTGGGCATTTGTCGGGAACAAAAACAGAGACAGGACAACGACCCAGTCACACAAATTAGATCAGTCCATAAACAATCACTCCCCCCTAAAACATATTGAACCGGGCTTTGGTTGTGTTGGCTACAAATAATCTCAGCTATTGAATCCAAATGAAACAGCAAAAAAAGCAAAATGGCACCGTGTCTTTTGCTCCTCTCAAACTCTGCCTTCTTTCCCGCTTTATTTGAGTGTTTGTTTACTTTTCCTGGAGGAGCCTGTGACCTAAGAATGTCATTGTAATAACTACACTGTAGCTATGTACAATAAAAGCCTTGAGCCTTGAACTGACCTGCAGCAGTAGTTCACCCTCAGGAATCTTTGCCTCCACCGCTCCTGCTGTTTTGCTGTCATCATCTTTTCCAGAGGCTGGAGTCACTCCGTTCAGGGCCACTGTGGAGAGGGGGGGGGGGAGAGAGAGAGAGGGAAGAGAGAGAGAGAGAGGAGAGAGAGAGAGAGGAGAGAGAGGAGGGAGAGGAGAGAGAGGAGGGAGAGGAGAAAGAGGAGAGAG